AGTAAGCAGGGACATCTTCAACTAGACCAGCTTGCTCAGAGCCATGTCCAACCTGACATCGGATGTTTCCAGGGATGGGGCATCTATCATCTCTCTGGGCAACCTCTGGGGGTTGTGATGTTGTGATTTGGGGCCTTTCCTCTTCCCATTGCTTTGTGGCCCCGAAGGACCCAATGCCTGCCTCTTGTGTCCCCAAACTCCTCCTGATTCAGCTGTGAGTCACTTCCCTTCCTCCAGGGACGGGCTCCTCTCTTCCCAGCCCAGCCATCTATTATTTTGGAAAAACGGTGACAGCTGCCCCTCCACAGACCTCAGTAAGAGATCGAGGGGACCAGGCAATCTACCCCTCTTGAGAACAGGAAAAAGCAGTTCTCACCGTCCTTCCAAGTTTCTAAATGGGAAAATATCCCCGGCTGCACAGGCAGGAATGTCGAGGCCTGTCCCGCAGGGCCATTTTTGCTTCTAAACCTGCGCTTTTGTTCCAGGGTTTGTGCTGTTCTCCACTCCAGGGTGTAACACCGTTTTGCTGTCGGAGAGGGCAAGGCGCGCGTGGTCTGTCTGGACACCACCACAGCTGCTCCGTGCCTGTGTTTCTCTGCAGCTTCTGCCTGCCTCCACGGAATTTAACCCCTGCGCAAGGCAAAAAGTGTTCGTGGCTGTTCAGCCATTTTGATTTCTGCTTTTTAAACCCAATCTAATTGACACTTAATAAATTAGTGTGGGAAGAACGAAAGGATCCTAGGAAGAAATCATTGTAAACTGTGTGTCATGGCTATGACTGGTTTCTGTTTGGGGTGGGAAGCGGTTTTTAATTATCTTCTCCAAAGACCGTAGAGAGATGGATGGAACAATTGTTTGAAGTTAATTCCATGAGCTCACGGGCAACGAGCCTTACTTACCCAGCTACGTAAAACAAAGAAAACTCAGGCAATTAATTTAACGAGAGCGCTTGGGACATGATTTCATTCTCGGTGGATGAGCCTGAGAAAACAGCTCTTTTGAATCACAGCGGAATAAGCGTACACAAGAGTCTCCCCGTGCAACAAAATCTCTCTTAGCTGGATGCCAGAAATGGGTCTGTCAGAGCCATGGGGTATTTGCCCGAACCTGGGCTTTTGGGATAAGCAAATTCCTTTTTAAATACTCACAGTGGTGGCAAGTAAAGCCCATGTGTGACTTGAACTGCTGGAACCAACACTCCCAGCAGGAACCCAATGTATGAGCGGTTTCTGTGCGAGCCATGCACTCAGCCCGTACAGTGGGTGCCCGCGAGAGGGAAGGCACCATTCCGCGCAGCCGGGTTAGATAGGGTCTGGGGACGAGTCATTACCAGACGTACATCCACTATGTTGGCTGCCGTGAAATAGATAGATATGATTGGGGGGGACCTGAAATAGATGGATTCATTGGGGTGGACCTGCTGGAGAGCAGCTCTGTGGAGAGGGACCTGGGATTGCTGAGGGACGACAAGCTGACCATGAGCCAGCAGTGTGCCCTGGCTGCCAAGAAAGCCAATGGGATCTTGGGGTGCA